AGGCATCCGCTGGGGGTCCTGGAATGTATTCCCCAAGCGGAAGGGGGTACTACTGTATATTGATAGTGGTCTGAACAACTAAGTGAGATTTTTTTTTTTTAAGATTTTGTTTATTTATTTGACACAGAGAGAGACAGCGAGAGAGGGAACACAAGCAGGGGGAGTGGGAGAGGGAGAAGCAGGCCTCCCGCTGAGCAGGGAGCCCTATGTGGGGCTCAATCCCAGGACTCTGGGATCATGACCTGAGCCAAGGCAGACACCCAACGACTGAGCCACCCAGGCGCCCTTAAGTGAGATTTATAAGGGCAAGCCAGAGGCTCTCTTCTTTGCCTTGACTTACTCAACATAAGGCTACGATGAACCCCCAAATCTTGCCGATCAGATCTGTAGATGATGTGAAATGAGATTATTTATTTCAAGAGATGGTAATGAGGATTAAAATTTGGGTCAAAGCCAAGGTATAACTTAATGGTTATAAAGAACCGCAATTTGATTTTTAAAAGAATCAGCTATACTTGACATGAGTGGGTTAATATGTAAAAAAATCTAGGAATGTTTAATGCTTACTTTGAATCAAGCTGATGATAAAATTGCTTTAAAAATGTTACCTTGGGCAGTATTTTTTTTTTTAAGATTTTATTTATTTATTTGACACATAGAGACAGCGGGAGAGGGAACACAAGCAGGGGGAAGGGGAGAGGGAGAAGCAGGCCTCCCGCGGAGCAGGGAGCCCAATGTGAGGCTCTACCCTAGGGCCCTGGGATCATGACCTGAGCCGAAGGCAGACACTTAACGACTGAGCCACACAGGCGCCCCAACCTTTGGCAGTATTAATAAAAATATTTGCTCTGATTTTGGGAGATAATAGTTTCACTGGACTCTTAGAAAAATAATCCATGTTTAGGGTGCCTGGGTGGCTCAGTTGGTTGAGCGTCCAACTTTTGATTTTGGCTCAGGTCATGATCTCGGGGTCCTCGGATCGAACCCCATGTAGGGCTCTGCACTCTGCTGGTAGTCTGCTTGAGATTCTCTCTCTCCTTCTCCCTCTGTCCCTCCTCTCTCTCAAATAATTAAAAAAGATTTATTTATTTATTTGAGAAAGAGAGGGAGAGAGAGTGTGCATGGGGGGGAGAGGCAGAAGGAGAAAGAAACTTAAGCAGACTCTGCTCTGTCTGAGCCCAGAGCCCGACATGGGGCTCAATCCCATGACCCGGAGATCACGACCTGAGCTGAAACCAAGAGCTGGACGCCTGACCGACTCCATCACTCAGGTGCTCCAAAAAATGAATCTTAAAAAAAAAAATCCATGTTCATTTTAGGAAAATGATGATCAAAACCAAAAAACCCTACAACCCCACCACTCAGATAATATACACACACGGTACATGTACTTTTTTTTTTTTTTAAGATTTTATTTATTTATTTGAGAGAGAGAATGAGAGATCTCATGAAAGGGAGGAGGGTCAGAGGGAGAAGCAGATTCCCTGCTGAGCAGGGAGCCCCGATGCAGGACTCGATCCCAGGACTCCAGGATCATGACCTGAGGCTAACCAACTGAGCCACCCAGCCGCCCCATGGTACATGTACTTTTATAGAACTTGTGGTTGTTTTCCTTTTTGCTTAAATTATCTTTGTGGCAGCAGATGTATCTCTAAATCCTTGGATCCTTAGATTCCGCTGAGTGTTTTTTTGTTTTTGTTTTTAAAGTTTTTATTTTAATTCCAGTTAGTTAACATACAGTGTTATATTAGTTTCAGGTGTATAATATAGTGATTCAGCACTTCCATACCACACTGGGTGCTCATCACAATAAGTGTCCTCCTTAATCCCCATCACCTATTTAACCCATCCCCCTACCCACTTCCCCTCTGGTAACCATCATTTTGTTCTCTATAATTTAAAGAGTCTATTTCTTGGTTTGTCTTTTTTTTTTCCCCTTTGCTCGTTTGTTTTGTTTCTTAAATTCCACACATGAGTGAAATCATATGGTATTTGTCTTTCTCTGACTTATTTCACTTAGCATTATATACTCTAGCTCTAGCTATGTGTTTGCAAATGGCAAGATTTCATTCTTTTTTATGGCTGAATAATATCCCATTATATATATATATATATCATATATATTACATCTTTATCCATTCATCAATTGATAGACACTTGGGCTACTTCCATATCTTGGCTATTGCAAATAATATGCTATAAACATCGGGGTGCATGTATCCCTTCGAATCAGTATTTTTGTATTCTTTGGGTAAATACCCAGTAGTGCGATTGCCGGATCTTGGGGTAGTTCTATTTTTAAATTTTTGAGAAACTTCCATGTTTTCCAGAGTGGCTCACCAGTTTGCATGGCCACCAACAGTGCAATAGGGTTCCTTTTCTCCACAACTGCACCAACACCTGCTATTTCTTGTGTTGTTTTTAGCCATTCTAACAAGTGTGAGGTGATATCTCATTCTATCTTCCCAGTGTTAAAATAAAAGCTCCTTGCTTGGGGCGCCTGGGTGGCTCAGTTGTTAAGCATCTGCCTTCAGCTCAGGTCATGATCCCAGGGTCCTGGGATCGAGCCCCGCATTGGGCTCCCTGCTCTGCGGGAAGCCTGCTTCTCCCTCTCCCACTCCCCCTGCTTGTGTTCCCTCTCTCGCTGTATCTCTCTCTGTCAAATAAATAAAATCTTAAAAAAAAAAAAAAAGCTCCTTGCTTAGTGGTGATTCTCAGCTGCCAGAAATTATAATCATAGACCTTCAGAGCCAGAAGGGCAGTTTCATCAGTATCACGTGGGAACTTGTTACAACTATAAATTGGGAAAGACCAAATGGATCAGAAACTCTGGGGGTGAGAACTAGCAATTTTGTGTTTTAATAAGCCCTCCAAGTGATTCCAATCCACACTGAAATTTAAGAACGACTGATCTGAGTTAAACCCTTTGAGTTTTTCAGATAGAGAAGCTAAGATCCAAAGAGGTTGTCACAAGTCAATTTAAGAAAGCAGCAGAATCATCAGGCAGTGATTCCTAGGATGACCATCATGCCTCAGGGAGATGTGTTTACTGGGCTAACTGCTAAACAGTATTTGAAAGAATGCTGGGTGGAAATAAGTGTAATGGGGGAAGAGTCTGTTTACCACTTAACTCACCTGGTGGGCTTGTTACAGTTCAACAGTAGCCTTTTAATTCACTGAAGTTTAGTCTGAAAGAAAAGTTTCATCTAATTTGTTTTATTCACTTGATTATTCATATGTATTTTATTCCCTGAAGCAAGTTTATATATCATTTAAGTAACTACCCCATTCTGTCACTACTGCCCTCTAAGGAATCTCTAGTGTGATCCTACAGCTTTCATTTTTAACAAGCTCCTTACACTTAAGTTTGAGAACCACTAATACAGATGTTTGAAGTTAAGAAAAAAACAGATGGACTGGACTAACATTTTCAATATATATTTTTTTAAGATTTTATTTATTTATTTGACAGAGAGAGAGACAGCGAGAGAGGGAACACAAGCAGGGGCAGAGGGAGAGGGAGAAGCATGCCTCCTGCTGATGCAGGGCTCCGTTCCAGGACTCTGGGATCGTGATCTGAGCCGAAGGCAGAAGCTTAACGACTGAGCCACCCAGGTGCCCCATTTTCAATATTCTTTAATTTGGGTTCCACATTGAAAATTCCAAATAATTTGCTAATGTGTTTATCATACAGCCAATATAACAACACAAGAGATTGCTCCAGAAATTTGTAATGGCATAGCATTCAAATGATTTTTTGAAAAGTATAATATAGTTTTTTCATTATCTGGGGAAGAAAAAGTTGGGGGGGGGATCACTGTAGGACGGCCAAGACATCACAAAACCAAGAACAAGAGTTTAAATAATGCATCCTGTTCTGAACTACAAATGTAGTCAACCCTGACTTTGCATGGCATAAATTAAGGTCACGGACAACTCAGCAGTTGTCTGAAACTTTAGTTTAAGATTACATTGTGTGGAGTAGTCAAGATTTAGGAAAACAGATACAGTATCTGGGAACAAGAACAGAATAACTGCAAAATCAAAATGGTCTACCTTGAATTTTTGTAGCATTTTAACGTTTTTCAAAGTACTTTCACATAAACTTTTATTTTATCCATGTAACAACGCTGTGAGGAGGGAAATTAGCATCAGCAAAACCGTTTTCGAAACTATAAATACTGGATCTAGGAAGAAAAAAGGCAAGGAAGCTGACAGAAGCAAAGAAATGACAGAAAAGGATGTCATTGAGGAAGCGAATCACAGAGAGGGCAAGCACAAAAAGCTGAGAGCCAGAGGACGGGGAATTGAGAGCAGGACGGGGAATTGAGAGCAGAACGGAGACTTAACCTGGCGGGGGGTCGGTGGGGAACTGCTTTAGCGGGCAAATAAGTGCAAAAAAGCCCGGGTGCAGGAGATTTGGGATTAGGAAACTTGAATTTACTTATCTGTACCGAAGAGAATGGATGAGGTCAAAGAAAAGAAAAATGGAAAGCAAGGAGGCACTTAAAGCTGCACGGAAGTTTTGTGGGCTCCTACTCTACAGTCCAATGACCATGGGGTTCGGCCTCAGGTTGAGAATAACGCGGAGGGGAGTCGCACAGGACTCAGGCGGGAAGACAGCAGAGCCCGGCAGCACGTTCACTCACACCAACAAAGGCCGCCGGGGACATTTCCCGAGCCACGCAACTTGCGGGGGCCGAAGGGTTAACGGCGCGCACGACTCCCGCGCGCTTCCCGGCCCCCACTCCCGCCGTCGCTAGGAAACGCCGAGAGTGGGGGAGGGGCGGGCGGCGCGGCCGAGGGTGGGAATCTTTTTCGGGCGTCCGGGGGCGGAGGGAGGGGAGCGCGCGTGCGCGCGCCCGGCCGTCCGTCGCCGCGGTGACCGTCCTCG